CCCTACATTTTCTACCAGTAGTTCTACAGTTTAAGGCTTTACATTTAAATCTTTGATTCATTTTGAGTATCCAAAAATAAACCCCAAATCATATAGCCAACTGATCTTTGACATAAGGTACAAGACAATGCAGTGGAGGAAAAAAAAAGTCTTTTTAGCAAATGGCTTTGGAAGAACTGGATATCTACCTGCAGAAAGATGAAACTGGATCCCTAGCTATCACTATTAAAATGGATGCATTTTATTTCATTCTCTTTTCTAATTGCATTTGCTCCAACTTCCAGTACTATGTTGAATAGGAGGGGAGAGGGTAGACTTCTCTGTCTTGTTCCAGTATAAAGTAAGCTTTCAACTTTCCCCATTCTGTGGTTTTGTCACAAGTTGCTTTTATTATGTTCTGAAATGTGTCTTCATGCCTATTATGTTGAGTCTTAATCATGAAGGGATATTATATTTTATCAAATGCCTTTTCTGCATCAATTAATATGACCAGTTCTTTTTTTTTTTTCTCAACAGAGAACTTACATTGTTTTGTCTGTTAAATGTTTCTTCCCTTTGCCCCTTCTATCCACCCTCTAGCCACAAAATATGACTTTGGTCTTTCCTTTTGTTAATGCCATATACTGTGTTTATTGTTTTGTGTATGTTGAACTGTACTTGGATCTCTGAGATAAATCCTACCTGGTTATGAGATATAATATTTTTAATGTATTGTTGGATTTCATCTGATAGTGTTTTGTTGTGGAGTTTTGCATGTATATCCATCAGGGATATTGGTCTATAGTTTGCTTTTTTTTTTTTTTTTAGAGAGGTTTTTGTTGTAGGGCTCATGTGCTTGCCATAAAGATAGAGAGACAGAAAGCAAGAAATCTCCCCCCGGGGGGATGGCCACACCACAATCTCTTTTCATCCATTCTCCTCTCAGGATCTTGGGCAAGCACCACATACACCCAGCGTGAGTTTAAGCCACCGGATCTGGGACTCGAGCCACTGTCGACTACATGGGAGTCCAGCAACATAGCCATTATACCAACTGCTTCCCTATAGTTTCCTTTTTTTTATTGTGTCCTTGTCTGCTTTTGGTGTCAAGGTGATGGTGGTTTTATAAAATGGGTTTAGGAAGTTTCCCTCTATTTAGATCTCTTGAAATAGCTAGATGAGAATTGATGTTAATTCTTCTTTAAGAGATGTGTCTAATTCAGCCATGAAGTCATGTAGAACTGTACTTTTTGTTGTTGCAAGACTATTTTTATCTTTTAAGATTTTGTCATAGGGCATGTACACTCATGGGAGAGAGACAAACAGGGATAGAGAGAGAGAGAAAGAGAAATCACCCCCTGACAGGTGGCCATGCCACAATCCCTTCACCTCTACTCTCTGCTTGGTATTTTGGGCACACACGTACATACACCTGGTCATGTGAGGTGTGTGAGGACTCGAATCACAGAGTTGGCCATGTGGGGTCCAGCACCTTAACCAACCCTGCTACCTTCCAGCCTTTGGGAGACTTTTTTTCTTTCTTTGCCAGAGGATGTTTGTGTTCTCCAGAGACAGAGAGATAGAAATAGAGGAAGAGGAAGAAAACACCACCATGGGGAATGTTGTAATCCCTTCACCTCCATTTCTCCCTCCTGTTGGGATTTGGGGCATTCATGCACATGCATTCAACCTGTTTTACAAGCTTCCTATTCTGAGACCCAAACCACGGGGTCAGCAATCAGAATGGCTGCCTTAACCGCCAGTTACGGAGCTGGTCTGGGAGACCATTTATTAGTGTTACTAATCAAATGCCGTTACTTGTTATTGGTCTAGTCAGACTTTCGATTTCATTCTGATTCTATCTAGATATATTATATGTGCCCAGAAATTTCTCTATCTCTTCTAGGTTTCTGAGCTTGTTGGTATGTAGTTGTTTATAGTATTCCCTAATGATTTTTTTTTTTTTTTGTATTTCTATGATAGCTCCTGTAATAATTCCTTTTTATTTTCTAATTTTACTTGTCTGGGTCTTCTAGTTTTTTGCTATAGAGCATGTACACTCACCACAGAGAGATAGAAAGAGAGATAGTAAATAAGTGAGAA